AAAAATATTAACTTTATTGAAATAATATTGATAAGGAATTCATCGTATTTTTGGTTAAATTTATTATTTTCGATCTCTGTATCTAAAAATATATTAGTAAATTCAAACTTACAATTTTTGTTCATTCTATTCAAGTCTCATTCACATTTATGAATATATTTTTCATAGTAAATTAATTAATTTATAATTCTTCATCCAAAATCTTTGAGAATACTTTTCCATATAAAAGGTAAAAATGATTAAAAATACTACAACTATTTTTATCTTTAAATTCTTTTAGATTATTCTCATCACATTTATTATTTTAAGTATAGATAAATTTTTAATTAATGAATCTTTTTATAGAACATTATTAAAAAGTTATTAAAGTTATTTCATAACATAATTATTTATAATTTACTTAATCATAAAATTACAGATATCAAAGTTTTCATAATAAAACTCAAAGTATCAATTTCTTTTCGCAATAAACTTAAATAAAAAAATTAAAATACCCTTTTAGTTTTTTGTCCATTGATGATCTGGATTTATTTTCAATGACTTTTCATAATATATTAAAGCTTATTAATATTGTTATTGATCTTATAAACAATTTCCTTATAATAATAATTAATAAGATACCTTTGCATGATAGAGAAAAAGAGTTTTAAGGGTTGATAGAGAGTGCCAAATCGAGATAATATATAGACTCTTTATATTTTTTTAATGATCTTAAACAATCTCCTATTATTTTAGAATAATTTAATTTACCTTTTAAACTTAAGGTAAGAAAATCTTTAGGATCAATAGCAATAGCTTTGTCCAACCAAATAATAGCATCCTCATATTTGTTTAATTCTTTTAAACATTCACCTTTTTAAATTAATAGATTTACTTTTCTCACTTAATGAAAATAAATGTTTTGGATCAAATGATAATGCTTTATCCAAATAAGTTATTGCATCTTCATATTTATGTAATAATCTTAGGCATACACCTAATAATTAAATAATGATTTAATTTGCCTTTTTCGCATAAAGAATTAACATGGTTGGAATCTATAGCTAATAATTTATCTAACCAAATGATAGCATCCTCATATTTATTTAATTATTTTAAACATGCACCTATTTATTTTAATAATAATATTCATCTACACTTTTCAAATAAAGAATTAATATGATTAGGATCAATAGTTATAGCATTATCTAAACAAAGGATTGCATTCTCATATTTATTCAACCATCTTAAAGATGCACCTATTGATAATATATTAATTTCACCTTTACACCATAATGATAAATTATTTTTAGGATTTAATTATATGGATTTGTCTAATAATTATATTGCCTATTAATAGTTATCATCCATATATAATTAATTACCTACAGGAAGTGATTATATGATTACCTTTTTCGTAAAATTCTTTTGATAATCTAATATCATTATCATCAATCAAATAATAATTAAAAGATGATAATTGCAATTAATCATTTAAGTTAAAAAAAGAATGACTTAGCTTCTTAGTCTGTTCATTAATGATTATTGTTATTGATTCTTTATATTCAGCTAATCTTACAACTGAATTTAGAGCATCGTTTATTTATTAAGCATTCAATTGCATTAATCTCTCTTTTGATAATGAATATTTATATCTGATTCCCTTTTTTAATTAACAAAATTATTGATTTAAATTATCTACTTACTTATCAAGATTATCAATCAAATCATCACATTATTTATTTTTATTTTCAAAAAACTATATTATACTTTGTATTTTTTCAACATCTTCAAAATGAGCACGATGAATTCCCTTTTTAATACATTTAAAACAGTTTAATCGAAAATCGGTACAAAACTAATGAGAACAGAAAGTGTCAATCTCATCTTAATCTTAATGATCATTTAATTGACAATTTAACTTTATCTAGGCTTATTTAATCATTATTAAATATATTTATTAATAAAATTTAAAATTTTACTATTTAAGAATTATTTATTGAAAAATTAAATGTTGTGTAAAAGAAAAATAAAATAATTTTAGATAAGAATATACTTTAAGTCATTAAACAATATAAAGTTTGGAAGCAAGATTTTATAACTGTAATGCCTTTTTATAAATAACATAATTCGCTTTGTTTAAAAATAAAAATAAATAGATTACATATGTATATTATATTATTTTCTAAATTTCAATATTTTAAGATAACAACCTAAATTGATATATGTCTCATTATAAATAAATAATTTATAAATTTATTATTAATTAAGAATGCAAGAGAATTATCTATTACAACCTCTATTAAAAGAATAAAATATCATTTACAAATCTTTTGTTTTTAGATTAATTGATTAGATGACTTAGAAGTAACCAGAAAGATGTTGTGCTTTGGCTATTAATTAAAATAATAATATTTTGGCTGTTGGTTCTAGTTATGATATAAAATTGTATTAATTCAAAAATGAAAGATTAAAATATATTCAAAAAGTAAAGAAACATAAATCAGTTGTGACAACATTAAATTTTATGAAAAATAAATCAAATTTAATTTCTGGATCAATGGATTCATCAATACTTATATGGACATCTAATTTTTAAAGTGAAAAATATATAACAAAACTATAGGTACATTCAAAATGGATAAATTGTTTAGTTACTCACTCATTTAAAGAGTAAATGATTATATGTGGTTCTTTAAAAACAATTAAATTTTGGTATTTTAATGAAATATTATCAACTTGGGTAAATACATAAACCATAATTGAACATGATAATTAAATTTATGGATTATCAATTAATTAAAATGGTAATAAACTTTTATCTTGTGGGAATGATAATTAAATATTTATAATGGAAAGTTAAATAAATCAAGTATGGTAAATTAAACAAAAGATTTAAGTAGATTATTGGGGTATTAGATTGGGTTTTATAAATGATCAAACATTTGCATTTTAACCTTGCAATGATTGGAATGGATTCACACATCTCAATATATATACTTATATATCAACTCTTGGAGCTTACATAAAAACAGATTAAATCAAAGTGGAAGGAAGTGAATAATCATGTGATGCTTTTTCACCTTAATTCTACTCTAATAATAATATATTGCTTTCCAAAAATGGATTTACTATAAATTTAATAAAATTCACATATTCTCAATCTAATTTAAAATTGGAAGGCAAATTAGTATAATCTATTAATTTCAACCATTGGAATTTAATTGGAATTATGAGTGAAAATGGAGATTATTTAATTACTTGGGATAAAAAATCTTGTGAAATACAAATAAGAAAATTAAATATTATTTACTGATAATTTAATCTCTTTTTATCTTTTCATCTATTTGCATTAGAATTACATCATGGTTGTTAATATTAAGTATTTTCTCTTATATTAAGAATAAATATAAAAAATTTTTAATAATTTAGATTTTTACATTTTTTCGAATTAAATCTGATTTCTAAATGTTAAAGTTTATTTATAATAATATAATATTTATAATTTATATTATTCTGATTTTAAATTCAATAATATATTATATCTATTCTTAATCACTCATCTATATTCTTATTTAAACAATGAAATATGAGACAATTTAGGATAGAAAATTATTTATATTAAATTAATTTAAATTGAAAAATTGATTCATCTTAAAAAATAAGCAATAGTTAAAAATCTATTTATATTAAATTTGTAATTTATTATTATAAATAAATTCAATTTCATCAATTCTCTTGATATTTTCTAATCTGAAATTCTTTTTATTTCTAATCCCAAGTTATTAAAAATTCTCCATTTTTACTAATAGTTCCAAAAAGTCCATGATGTGAAAATTCTATAGTTTATATGAGTTTCCAATTAATAGATTGAGATGTAAAATTGAAACTTATTAAATTGATTGTTGAACAAAATTTGGAGATTAAAATATTTTTAGAAGTAAGAAATACTAAAGGGAAATAACGATAACAAACTCGTCCTTGAGTTTAAGTTGAAATATTACTAGATCGAACATACTCTTAAGTAATGGGATCAAAAAAGTATAAATGAATAGTAAAAGTAAAATCTGGTTGAAATGCAAATAAATTATTATTAATAAAGCATAATCGATATCCATTTTTACTCTCTTTTATCTTTTAAATAACTTACCATTTATTTTCATAATCCCTTATCATAATAAGAATTTATTAATCTTTTCCACAGGATAGTAATTTATTTCCTTCATCATTAATTGATAATCCATAGACTTCATCATTGTGATCATGTATAGACTGATAACAAAACCAATTTAATTAGGAATTCAATTTCCAAAATTTAATAGTTGCATCTCTTGATCCACTTATAATTAAATCTTCCTTATTAGATGTTATTACTAAGCACTATATTGCTCTAGAATGACCTTTTAATTTAATGACATATTTTCGATTTGATAAAATGTTTAGCGAAGATATACAAATTGTGCTATCCAATGAACCTGAAACAATCATTCTTCTCCTACTAAAGAAATTGAGTGTAGTGACCTTATTAGTCTATATTTAAATTTATTAAAGTTCATGAATATCTTTTTTGAATTAGAATATATTGATATGGTTTTCTTATGCTAATGCAATAAAAGAGTTATCTGTAGTTATTGAAATTGCAAAACACTACATTTTATAAGTTCTCCTAATAATTAGTTCATAACAAAACGTTTTTTCTAAGAAGTCTTTCGAATCTTTATTATGTTTAAGGTTCATTTTATTCAAACCTTTAAATTTTAGAAATTATATAAATAATTTATATTTTTGCAAAAGAAAAGTTAAAATTTTTCATAATAATTGAAGAAATTAAAGACAAACGCTAATTGTTCAATATTATAACATTTTGTATTATTCTATCCTAAATCAGAAAAACAACAATAATTGTACAAATAAAAAAATTACTTAAATTTAAAGATCATGTCCAAATTACCAAAAAAAACCTAAAAGACACAAAACTATATTTAAAAAATATATTCAATTAAATAAGGCCAAGTATTTCATCTTTATTATATTGAAACTTATTTACCAAGAAATTTATCACGCTGTCTAAAAGAACTTAAATATTAAGCAAATTAGAAGCTTTTTTGATTCTTCTTTAAATACTAGAATTAATGTACTATCAAATGGAGAAAATTTTAATTAATTATTTTATTAGAGTAGCTTGAATATAAGACAACTTTAAACAATTCTTAATGTTATTAATTAAAATTTTTTTAGTATTAGAAAAACATTTAAAATATATCTAAGGTATATTTTTATTTAATCTAGATTTATTGGAATTTCTATACTTATTAGGAAAGATTAGATAATTCTTAATTAAAAATTATTGAGAATTTACATTAATTCGAGAATTTTGTAAAAGATATTAAGTCTAACAATTCAAATTAATAGGGCCTAAACCAAAACTTTGATTATTAATCTATTTTGATAAATACTTTATTATAATAATTAAATGAATTTAATAGATAAATTTAATAAATTATGATATGATAAATTTTAGAATACAAATTTTATATTTCAAAAATATAAAGAACAAATTTAAAGTAAAATAAATTTTATCTCATAAATTTGAAAACAAGATTAAGGAAATCTAGTAATCATGATAAATAATAATGAATCAAGTAATTCTCGAAATGTCTATTATAGTTTTTAATCATTAATGTGAAAGACAATCGAAATATTTAAAATTAAGGAAGATGTTAATATTGAGGAAATTTTAGATTAATTAAAAAGAATTTAATAAATTATAAAAGATAATAACAATTGGAAATTTCATTTCCACTTTCTAGAGATAAAAACGGATTTAATCAAATATGACAAGAGCTTTACCTTTTGTAAGAAGATGAATATGATAATTTATAGGAAAATAATTCAAGAACAAAGTTTGAAGAACTCTCAAAACTTAAATTTTAAAAAATTATCTTGAGATATAAAGTGAAAGGTTAATTAAAAGTTTTTGAGGATCATATTTCCAAGTAAATTAAAATTAATTTGAATTTCTATTGAACAAAATTGAAGGTAAAAATACTTAGAAAAATTAAAAAATTATCCAAGAGTTATAAAAAAATTCAATAAAACATTTTTTATGCGATTAAGAATCTGAGAATTAAGATTTTAAGAAAATCTTTATTTTTTAAAAGCTTAGATTAAAGTTGATTATAAAAAAAAATAAGTATAATTACTTAGTTTGATTTTAGTATTATTGAAGAAATAAAATTAGAGGCTATTATAAACATTTTTCTTTGGGATAATAAGAAATAAAATTAAGAGTAAATTATTATAACAGCTTGAATTTTTTCTATGGAATCTTTATTATTCGCTATCAAAAGTAAAAAAATGGATTCCTTTATATTATAAATTGTCTGACTATAAAAATACTTCAAAAAAATCTATACTAAAATTTTAAAAAGAGTTATTAAAGTTTAACTAGGAAGAAAGATCTAATTTCAAATAAGATATAATGAATGAAGAAAAAAACATTGTTCTAATATTTGATGGATATATTGAAATGAAATAGTAATATCAGAAAATGAATTTAATATAAAAAACAGATATTTTAAAAGCTAATTTAGGTAAAAATATAAAAATATTTAAACATCAAGAAGTAAAACTCTTAATTAGGAAAACTACGAAGAAAAATTTATTGGAAAAAATGAAAAAACTTCGACTGATAAAAGCATGAAAAATTTTAAAGGCAAAGTATTTTAAAAAGATAAATTGAAAATTTTGCAATAAAAATGTTGATAAAAACCCCTCAAGTGTTTAAAATTTTACTCCTTATCATAAATGATGAAAGATAATAAGAAAAAATATAAATAATGAAAATTAATAGATTTTATTTTGAACTAGCAAAAGTAAAGGAATAACAAATTAAATAAGATGATTAATAAGTTGATGAAGAGTATTTTATTTAGAAAATTAGGAAGAGCTTAATATAAATTTTAACAAAAATCTATTTTTGAATTTTTCCCTGATTTTCAATTATATTATTGCAATTTTAACAATACCAATTTATAAGGAGTTGAATGGATACCTTAAAAAGCTATAATTCTAAAAGAAGTAAATAGAGAAGAAATATAAGAGATGGAATTTTCTTCTAGTGGTGATTTTTTATATTGAGGATCTATTTCATATTATTTTGGAATTAAAAAACTAAAATCTTAGAGAAGAGAATAAAGTGCCTAATGTAAAAATGTATTTAATGTATCATTTCATCTGATTCAACTAAATTTTTATTGAAATTTGATACTTTGATTCAGATTTATTGTTATGATAAAATGATGATTTAATTTAATTGAATAAAATAACTTAAATATAAGTAGAATACTAAGAAAACTTCGAATATCTATGCAAAAAAAACATAATACTTCTTATGAAGATAAATGAGAATATAAAAAGTTAAGTCATTGCTTTGTAAATGGCTAATTACCAATATATGATGCTGTAGATACTTTTAGAGATTATTTAAAAAAAAAATTACTTTATATGATTTTTTAAAAGAATTTACATTAAAAGATTCTTTAGAAAAATTTACTTTATTATTAATAAAAAAGATTTTATAATAAGGAATGATTTGCATCTCTTGAAAAATATAAAAGTGGATATAATATTTAAAAATTCTATTGTATAATGCAAAATTCATTTAAATTAAAAAGAATTTATGAATATTTATATTGACAAAATAGTAAATCAAAAGATGATAGTTTCAAATTAATTAGATGATTTCTACCCAAAATCTATGTGTTTTCGCACATTTTTGTACATCATTACTTATAATAAAGATTAAACCCTGAGATTTTGTTTTATTGATCATCAATTCAAATCAATCATATAGATGGATATATAGAAGGCAAAGTGAAAAATTTACAATAATCTTCTAGAATTATTAATTCATAAAATAATATTTTAAATAGTGAACTTTAGACAAAAATATATGAGAAGTATTTATAATGTTGAAATTGAAAAAGAATCAATAAAACAATTACTAACTGATAAAGTAATTTAAGACAAGAATTCATATATTAATTGTTTTTCTTTGTTTTAAAATGAAACTGAAATTTCCTTTGCTTAAGGTGATAGAATTATATATAAAAGTATAAATAACAAAACTTATAATCTTAAAACTAAGTTTATTGTAGTAATGATAAGTAAATTATTTTTGGAATGTTGAATAAAAATAAATAATTCATATATTAAAATGTTTTTTTTTAGGACATAAGATTTAGTTATAATCCAAACTTCAAAATCTATTGTATTCTAAAAAATTGATGTTAAACATTGCTAAGGCTTAAAAGTTGAAAAATATATTGAATTAGAATAAATTAATGAATATATTAATTTTCAACAAACCATGATTTTAGTAAGTATTCTTAAAGATGTTTATTTGCCATTTAAGCATGTAAATAATTTTATAATGAAGTATTAAATAGAAAAATAAAGAAAGGCTATGATTTAAAAGTAGAATGTTAAGAAATAGTTTCTGTTGGAATAAAAAATAAATTCAAATCCTTTGTAAATAAAAAAATTATAGAAAATGGTAGTAATTCTAGAATTTTACTTTATCACTTTAGCAATTTGAATATATCTACTTGATAGAGTTTGATAATGTTGAGGGGATTTTAAGAAGAATTCACTCTTAATAGAATCTCACCAATTTACATTCAATTAATGAGAATTATCTAGTATCTGCTAATAATCAATAAATAAATGTTTTTATTGTTAAGAGATTTGATTTCTTTTGTATATCAACAATAGATATTGACTTTGAAATAAAAAAGACTTCATATCAGATTTAATTGTATAAGCATATTTATGTGAGCAGTATAATAAAAGAAATTATATAATTTTAGAAGAATATTTATGAAAGGATCTTATATAATAAATAGTAATAGATTTAATTTGATTAATTGTTGTTAATTATTTAATTTATAAATTTAATTTTATAATAGTAATAGAAAATCAAAAAATGTCTGAAAAAATGATTGAGAAGAGAACATGTTAGCTTCATGAAAATTTAGAAATTCTTGCAGTTGATCTAAGTTAATAAAGTAACGAATAAGATGTTAATAAATATTTGTGTGTAAAATGTCTAATTGAAAAGATTGGAATAAAAGAGATTGTTTTGTATGATAAGACTATAGATATGATTAAAGAGATTAAGAGTAAATAAAAAAAATAGAATCAGGATATGATTCAAGAAAAAGTTCAGAATATAAAATAATTGTAATAATCTATTTTAGAATTCGATAAAATTATGAAGGGGACAATTAGTAAACTATAAAATAGTTTTGATTAATAAATAATGGAGGGTTAGAAAGAAATACAATAAAGGGATTCATAAATAGATTCTATAAATTTGGATTAAGGCATTCAAATTCTATCAAGCATTTATAGAGAAAATGATGAATATGAGATTCCAACTTAAAAATATGAGACAGAGAATATTTCATAGTTTTTAGATTCCATTAAATAGTAACTTCTTCAAATATCTACTTCATAATAGTTTTTATAAATATAATAATCAATTAAAACAATTGAATAATAATTTTTAATAAAAGAAGATCCTCCAAAAATATAGAAGAATGTAAATAATTTTGTATATAATATTTAGATAACTCTAAGTTTAAAGTAGATATGTAAAATTCATGAATCAGATATTATAATGATAAATTTAAATCCATCTGAATCTTAATCGTAAAAGAGATTTGCATGTGTTGAGTGCATTTAAGAATGTTCGAATAATTATGTTTCCTTAAAAGAAGTAAATAAGAGATGGATCTAATATACACAATAATAAAACGAAATTAAATAAAATTACTAAATTAAAAGATAATCAAAGTTTAATTCAGCCACTTTAATAATTATGTAATTAAAAGAAAAGTATCAAAAATACTCTCTCTGAGATTATTTAATCACTTGATACATAATTTAAATAGGAAGATTCTTTATTTTTAATTAAAAATGATTATAAGGATTTCAATATTAATTAATTAGACGAATAAGAAATCCAAAATGTTGTCGATATTTTGTGTTAAAAAGATTAACATTCTAAATTAAAAAATAAATAAGAAGACCTAAATTAATTTGATTCAAAATTTTATTCAAATTTAAAACTAAATTTAGATAATCTTATGCAATATGATATCTTAACTAAACATAATCTAATTAAAATTATTGATGATAATGAATAAGATATTATAAAGATTGATGATTATGTTCAAAATAATAATGAACTTAATAATAAGCTAGATGCTAATTCTTTCTTTAAAAAATTATTAATATCAGACTAATATAACTTCATTCTTAATGATGTATTTAACTTTTATATAAATTTATAAAAAGAGTTAGATGATTTATAATAACAAGGAGAAGTGATGTAATTATTCAATCAACAATAATAATAGTAATCACAATTCTTTTAAAAATAATATCAATTATTTTAGTCTAATTCAAATAAAATGAAAACATTAATTATGGCTGAAGATAATTTAAAGTTATTGAAACAATTATAAGAATCAAATTAATAATAATAATCAAAATTGATAGAAGAGGGAAAACAACTAGAAGAAATTAATTTACAATTAACTTAAATTAAAGAGAAAGAATTCAAACTTTAAGAAAAAGTAAAACAAGATATTGAATTAATAGAAAGTTTGTCAAGTAAGTTAAAGGATCAAGAAAACATAAATAAATAATTAAATGAAAAAACAAATGAATAAAACTAATTAATACAGACGATTTAAAACAATTTAGACAAAACTAAATCAGAATTAAGTATTAAAGACTAAGAATTAAAGAACAATATATCTTAAAATGAAGAAAAATTATTAGAATTGCAAAGTGTTTACTCTTTTGTAAGAACATCTTGGACTATTGGAAAAAATACTATATTAAAAGATGATTATTGTATTAAAATTCTTAAAACTATTGAAGAAAAGACTAAGAAAAAAATTAAAAATCAATATTTGATTTATTGTGGAACAAAGGATGGATTAAATGGATAAACTTTTTGGAAATGTGTCGATAAACTCTCAAATTTATTAATGATATTTAAATCTAAAAGTGGTTATATATTTGGTGCATTTTCTCCTTGTTAATGGTAATTAATGTCTGGTAGTTACTTTCAAGATAATGCATTGTCATCATTTTTATTTTCATAGACACATGATTAAATATATCCATTAAAAGAAGCAAATAAATAGCATTCTATTTATTGTAATCAATCATCATATGGACCTACTTTTGGTGGGGGTCATGACTTATATATTTCAGCAGATTTTAATGGTGGATATTCTAGTTTAGGGCATTCTTATTAGTGCAATTAATATCAAATCGCAAACACTAGTACTCATTTATTTGGTTAATCAACTCCAAATATAGCTGAATGTGAGATATTGATGTTAACATTTGGATGAATAACATAAACATTTATATTAATTATGAAATAATTAAGGATAGAGTATTTGATCAAAATGTATTTAAATTTGTCTATTAAAAATTGAATGATGATAATTTAATTGGTATAAGATTGCAAGTCCCTATGTTTATAACATATTTAAAATATTAATTTTCTTATCAATTTTAATTTAAACAGAGATTTCTACATTATAATTATATACATAGAACATGTGTAAAATTTAATAAAAAAAATATTCTGAAATATCTAAAAGAATATAAATTAAATGAGAAGAAATAATTATGCATAAATTAAATATGTTTAAAATATATTTATTTTGGGATACTTTTAGATAAAGAAACAATAATTATTAATAAATAAAGAAGATCAGGTGTTAACTGAATTAATAAAGTAAATTTCATCAAAGATTTTTACTCACTATAAATTAGTTTAGTTATATTAAAAACATGAGATATTTTCTTTATCGAATTTAAAATTTATAATTTTGTAAGTCAGTTACTTTGAAAAATATTTATATCACCCGTTTTAGACTAAAGGACAGAAAATCTCTCTCTGAATAGAACATAATTCCTTTTAGAAAAAATTAACTCTAGATGCAAGAGATATGACAATTTTATATTAAAAAATATATTTGTTACGATAATATTGCTGAGAAGCGATTTATTTCATTTAATATTTATTCACTTTTAAATAGTGATTAAACAAAAATGCTTGAAAATCAGATAAATAAAGAGTTAACAACTTCATTTCATAAATATAAGAAAATGAAGCACAATTTAATATAATTAAATGGCTCAAATTTATAATAAGTTTAAAAATCAAATAAAAATAAGAATTTTGAATCTTCTTATCAAGTTCAATATAGATTACAAATATAGCTGATATGTCTAATTAGCAACAACTTTAAAATATCTTGTCATTTGTTGAAAATTGTTTTTAATAAATTCAAGATTGCTTAAAGACCAACAAAAATTGAAAATTTTTAAGTCAAATTGATATTGAACTACTATCTAAAAAAGAATTTGATATATATTTATTTTTAAATCACAAAATAATTTATTATTATTAATAATTTTTAAGATATATAAAGAATCACTATGACTTCAATATTATCTCTTAAAGATAACAATATGCACAAGAGTTTTAAATTAGATTGATCAAAAAAGACTTTTGTATTCATTTAGCGATGAGAAATTTAATACAATATTAAAAAATTAAAAAAAAAAGTGCTAAATGCAAGGTACTCAGAAAAAATTTTAAATTTAAAAGATTAAAAAATCTTTTGATTAGTTCACTTAGTTGGAATTTGTCAGATCAATCAATCAATAAATGAAAATTATCAGAAAAATTTGATAGCGAATGAGCTTTATTATATAAATGTATAAATAAAGCTGGTAATTTGACATAGACCTTCTTTAATTTAGTAATTTTTAGAATATCAATAAATAATAACTTCAAAACGTTAAAATGGTGGTAATAATAATTTTTATAATAAAATGAAAATTGATAATTAAGTATTTTGATATTTTTTAATTTAGAAATTCTTGTTTTTAATCCTGAATCTAATGTATGTTTGTACTATGCTTTAGCTTAGAATTTCTTTTAAAAAATCCTAATAATATAATTAAGTTTAAATTTAAAACATCCTTTATTATCTTATTTCCTGTAAATTTGAGTAGAGTTGTAGTTTATTTAGTTTTTGATAATTTGATTGCTTCTCAATGTATCGGAATTTATTATTTAATAAATAAACTAATCCTAAATTTATTTAATACCAACATTAATTATATTAATTGATTCTGATAGTTTTATTTAAAGATTTAATTGGTTCATTGATATTTCCGATTTTTAAGATTTATTAATACAATTCATCCAAATTAATAGAATCTTAATGTTGAACTTAAGCAATTAAAGATTGAATAGATGTTTTAAACATTCCTAAATATTCATTTAAATTAGTTTTCATAAAATAATTATACGTTTTACCATATAGATAAAAGAAAATTATAATAATTGTTCAATAATACAATAAAATTAATTGAAAGCATAGAACATAGGCGAAAATAACCTCATTAAGGAAATAATATTTTTATTCGCTTTTTGGTTATATAAATTTAATTAATTTCATTAAAAACAAAAGAAAAATTAGAAGCCCAAATATCAATCTCAGAAATAGAGAGATTTTTAAATTCTATACCAAAAGTTTCAAAATTAAAAGAAATAAAAGACATTTGCTAAAAGGATATTAAATGATTAGGATGCAGCTGATATTGAAAATTGGAACTAAAATTGGTAGCCGTGCAGGATTATCAATAGATGAGTTTTAAAATGTTAAAAAATAATTCATAGAGTGTCTTAAATAACACAAATTCCTTGGTAATGACAGATGGTTATTTTTTCTATTATATATCAACGATAACATTAAAAAGTTAAAGGAAATTTACAAAAAAGAAGAATTAATCTAAGGATTAGAAGAATGTTCATCTTAATATTAATTGGTTAGTGCATTTCCAAATATTGGTTAAGGATCATAAGTTAAAAGATCAAATTAAGTATGATCAATCCATATAAAATTGAAATTGTATCTTGTGTGAGAAACCGCAAATTTTTAGATTCTGTATCTTTAATTGAGAACCAATAACATGAATTAAGGTTTTCTATTGAAAATAGAGTAGAGAAAGTCGTAAATTGTATTCTTCCATTGCATACACAAAGAGATGAAGATCTTAAACCATTTTTCAGATCGAAACTATTTCACACAATTGTGTTTTGAACATTCTTATGCAGCTATCTTAGAAGAGATAACCACAATTTGATTGGAATAATGAAATGATAGGTTCAATAAATGAGTCACATTTTTTAGCTGTTAGGATAGAGAGAATCCTGGATTTTGGATGAATTATGATTTGTTAAATTTAAAATTCGTTAAAATAGGTCATATATATATTGAAAATCAGAAATCGATTTGTATCAAATATATAATATGTTAAAGCATTCTAATAGTATTAATGATTTTGCCATTCATTTATTTGATGCTCACTTTCAATAATATTAATGAATTGAATGAATGGAGTTATACAATACAACTCTTGCATATTTAAAAAGTAATTAAATTCTGCATTTCTAGACTTAGAGGATACTGAAATAGATTAATTAAAAATCATATAAGTTAAGAATCATTATAATAAATTGTTATAATTTAAATAGTATATCAATAAGTATTGAATTAACAATAGCAATAATTTTGATTAGAATTATATTGAACAATGTGGTTCAATTAAAAATTAATAATTTAGTTAAATAATTAAGGAGACAGAG